ATACTCTGACCAAGTGACCATGCTAACAATATACTCTGACCAAATTACTATGCTAGTCATATACTCTGACCCAGTGACTATGTTAACCATATACTCTGACCAAGTGACTATGTTAACCATATACTCTGACCAAGTGATCATGTTAACCATATACTCTGAGCAAGTGGCCTTGATAACCATATACTCTGACCAGGTGACCATGTTAACCATATACTCTGACCAAATTACTATGCTAGTCATATACGCGCACTGTACTGTTGTGAAGATGATTCTTTCACGTGATCGGTGTGGTTCTGGTATGCGATCCTCTAACTCGAGAGGATGAGTCCTTGTGGGATACAAAACTATGAGAAACAGACGGTTACAGATAAAGACAAGCAACAACTACAGTCCTATAATTCTTGGTTCGCAATTACATGAAACGTACAAAGACCGATGTGCCGCCTTCTAAAAAAGATTTATATATATATACACATATACATATATATATATATATACATACATACATACATACATACATACACACACACACACACACACACACATGTATATCTATATATATATATATAGATATATCTTGAGTATCAATTTACGTGGACACAAACTCGTGTACGCTTGCTGGTTGCGATAATGCGCCATACTCAACACAGCGTTTCCCGTCCCATTTGAGCTTACACTAACTATATCCATCTCTAGGGGTTAAGCAAATGGTGATAATTGCACCTGATACGACCGGACCAATGAAATGAATACAATACTTCTCACAACATAAGCATCTATATGCCGGGAGTATATACTACATGTACTATATATATTATAGATATTTATGCATTCAACTGTTGTCTACACAGAGGCACACAAGTGGACTTATGACTCGTCTTCTGATAAATATGACAGATTGAATCGCTCCCAATACAAAGTATGCACACACTCATCCTCGGTGTCTGCACATAGAGACATAATCAGTGAAATTACCCATCGCGCATGCTTTAAAAATAATAAAACAACCGCAACCTTACGCTTGCACCACCGCTGCACATGAACGATCCCAATATCCGCACCGTCTTGCAACTCCTCACTGTACTTCACGGCGTTCAGCAGAACGAATGAATTGCATATCCAGAAACTAACCAGGTCGTCCTTGTTGTGATTTTTCTGTTACGTAAACATATATAAATGTAAATCATTTATATATATATATATATATATATATATACAGACATAAGTACGAAGAAGTACCGCAACAATATATCACGTAGTCGTTTGTGTACTCTTTTTCACCCAAAGAGAGTTGGTAGTAGTGGGGGAATTTCAGTGTGAAAGCGACATTGCGCATATACATCTTCGTGTGAGCAGTACATCCCAAGCATTTGAACATCGGCTGACACAGTATGGGAGAGAGAACGCGGCATACGATATACATACATTTAAGTGGACACACACATAATCACAACAAGACGTGCAACGTTAATCCATCTATACTGTTGGAGATGCCCGACGCAATTCACTGCGTTGCTGAGTAGCGACAGTTGTAGTCCCAGGCATCTCAAACCAAACAGCATATACAAGCAGCGAACATACGAAGCGTGAGCAGACATACACGCATCGACATTTCAGCACACGTACACACACACACACACACACACACACACAGGCACTAACAAGATGTACAACCCAAACATTATACAGCGTTGCAACATGCTTGATGGAACCGCTTGAGTTGGCTAGCAGTTGCCTGGGACGGTTCTTGTGATCAGCATATTTCACATCCATGGGAATTTGTAATAAACGTTTACAGAAAACAAAGTACAGACAAACCTACACAAGCCCTACAGCAGCATTGGTTCACACGTACAACAAGAAGTAACAAACACATGCGTACCCAATATAGTAACATTGATATACACACACAACAAGAAGTACAAGACAACCGTATGCTGTACGCTTACCGTGGCCACATGCTTGATGGAGCTGATTGAGTTGGTGAGCAGCGACTGCAGTTGGCGAGGATTGTTTTTGTGATCTGCCCATCGCAAACGCATGAACAGAATGTACGCAATGATGCCTTGCGGGTGACTGTCGAGCAGCTCACTGGGATCGACGTTCACAATCAAATCCTGCACAAAGACAACGGCGACAGTAACGGTGATCGCGTCAGTGATAAGTGTAGTGGGTGTAACACATGCATGTGTGGGGGGATATATGTGTTCTTGTATGGGGAGACGCTCAATGTGTATGAGTGTATGGCTTAGGAGTCTGCAAGACACCGAGGAAGTCTTGCAAGGCCTAGAGCAACACACAAGAGGATACAACCCCGAGACTGGAGACAAGGAAGAACATGTGTTATGCCAGGCTATGTCTTTGTTCGATTTTTAGATTTGGGGAAAAGCATAAAAAGACTCGGGCTGACGGTGGTAAATTCTCAGGGAAATGTAGCCCTAATATACATTGAGAGCATAGAAAGCAGCGCTCACATTGCAAAATTCAATTTATAGATACGAGGTTACGGTGCGTAAAAACCTATTTATAAATACGTGGTACGTGGACACAGTGCGCACATCGTGAAATTCTATTTATAGCTACGGTGGACTTCTAACTTCTATTTTTAAAGCAGATCAAAACAGTTCTGAGTGCATCTTACCTGTCCAAGCGCACATTCGTCTTTCTCCTCGAAAATATACATCCCCACGGGCTCGTTGGCATCGAATTCAGGGATATCTACTTCTGTACACCATAGATTGAGTGTACGTAATTTGGGAGTGAATATACGGATTATGTGGGTAGAATAGATATACACAGGCATGCAATCAGCAACGACGATCGATATGCGACTCACACAAGGTGCGCTCAGGAAGAAAATCTGAGAAAGAACAAACAGGATATGTAGTGTATAGGCGTGCGATGGCGGATACAACCTTGGTTTAAATGAAGAAACACACACCGTACTCAAACATATTCAGAAAGAGACCCATTGACGGAATACAAAAGGCAAGGCAATCTGTAGGCATGGAATGACGATTACAGGCTTGGTTTCAAAGGAAAAAAACAAACCAGCAATATCAATAGAGATAAATTACACCAACAAGCGGTTGTATTTTTGAAAGGAGCTATAGGCCCCACGCACTCAGACAGCTACAATCCATCTGCATACATATATACCAGCGATACAACACACAGACACAGACACTGTGTACTGTACAACACCAATACACATACACACAGCACTTCGCATTCACAGTATGTCACTCGAGGGATTCGACGTTAGAGATACTACGGACCTGTTCTATGTGTGTCGAAACCTCCTTCGAATCTCAGGTCGTCGTCGTTTTTGGGCAGGGGAAGAGCAATACAGGAGTTCCCCTGCTCATCTGAGCTTTGGAGCACTCCGCTGGCCTGACAGGAGTGCGGCATACATATATACGTATAACAGACGGACAACATTAACACACACACATACAGTGAAACGCAACATACGCATCACACAGTATACACACACATACAAACAAAGCACAAGTGTGAAGGTTTATAGGTATAAGCAGTAGGTAAAACCAGGGATGCAGATTCGAAAATCGCTGGTACATGATGGAATGGATAGTCTGCAGAAACAGCAACGACAACTGACTGAGCTCTGAGATGGATATACACAATCAAGGATGTGTAACCCAGATGTTTCGTGCAGCATATACACACATTTTATATATATACATAACATAATATATATTACACACACTTTCTTCTGAAGTGAGATGTGTATACTCTATTGCAGCTATACAACGTATACTATACCTAAGATGTTAAAATCATATACATATACACACATACACACTTCCTGTTGAAGTACAAGAAGCGAGATGTGTGTACTCCATTGCGGCTATACAAAATACACATACATACATACACACATACACGAACGTTACTACAATAGCATAGGTGCGACGTATAAACACACATACACATACAACACACACGTACACACATACATAACCATTACCACGCTAGTGTCGTTGTTGGACTGTTGCAGCAGCCGCTGTATCCGGTCTTCGTTGCTTTGACCTTCTCTTGGACTCTATTCTTCTGCACCAGATTATCAGAGTGGCCTTCGTTAGCCTGCCAGGGGAAACAGGAAAGAAAGAAGGTGTAGATGTGAGTATTGTGTATGATTGAGGCTCGCATGCCAGGACAGAAAGGAGGGTACGAGAGCGTAGCCGTATGGTGTAAAACTAAGACCAAATATAATACACGATACGACGTAGCCCATGTATAATACACATTACAGCCCATGTC